TGGTATCTCCATACACAGCCAAATACCTTCAACAAGAGGATCCCGCTATTCTCTCTCTTCATCTGATAAGTAGACTTCCAATTCAACATTCTTGAGGGCGTTTTGTGGATCAATTGAACAGCTGTCAAAACTGCTTTCCCCTACAAGTGTTTTGGGACATTGATCCCAATCATCATACTTCAGGCTACCTATAGAAGGTGTCTATTTTTTCACTTTGCTACTTTATTTTGTACCAATGTATAGACATGTGGTTTGAAGCTGTATACCTTGGGCTGATAAATATTCTCCAACTCTTTGTTAGTATGCTCTATCATATCATCAGACCTCAATACCTTCACTACTGCACTAAATTGAGTCTGGATTGCCTTGAGAAAATATTTAAAACAAGCAAACACATCACCCTTACTTTTCATCAGATACAACTAAGTGACATGAGTGAAACAAACAATAAAGGTCACAAAATATCGATAACCATTTATCGAACTCGTAGAATAAGGTCCCCAAATATCAAAATGTATCAAATAAAAAACACAAGGACTCTTCCCATAATTGATATCGGAGCTCCTAATAAGCTTACCAAACTCACAAGCATCACATGCAGATTTTTATTTATTTGCTTTTTTCATACAAAGATGTATAAAAATGACACGATAAACTAAAACAAGAGTGTCCCATGTGTTTGTGATATAACACCAACAAATCCTCCAAACTCCTCCCAGATTTCCCTACTCTAGCACTCTCTACCATGGATGTCAGGGCTGAGTCAATCTTCTCTCTGTTAAAGTGTCAAAGTCCACTAAGCCACATTCCAATCCCAAGTGTCCAACCCATCTCTTTTGCTTGAAATATCACTTTAGAAATATCAAATGAATTAACACATTTTAGTTGAAGAATGATGACACTATTGGATAAAAAGTTTACTGGAAAGGACGTCGCATACAAAATATTGGACAAAGTAATAAAATTGATACACCTCATTATACTCTTACCAATTACCAGTACCTAGACACCTCACTATAAACTTTCAAAGATTTTGTTTACTTTTAAGTAACTTAGATATTAATTTAAAATATGTGTTTGAGAAACAATTCGTTTCAAAAAGAGGAATATACAACAATTTGCAATCATGCATAGCAGATTTATTGGGAGTACCCACATTTTAACTCATGCAGCTTCCAAAGTACTTTCATGGATTTTCAAATATTACAATCCGTATTTGATTTAGAAGGTATTCTTGAAATTTATATGTCTTAAAATTATTAAAATTTTGAAATATTTCAGCAATGCTCTTGCATTTACATAAACTAATTTCAAGCTTTAAAATGATCGCCTTTTATTTGCCAGCAAACACATTGCGAATTAGGTGGAGAGTTTGTAAAATAATAAAAATTTTAAGTTTAAATTTATTTTTAAAGCTTTATGAGCCTAAAATTAAAAGCCCAAACTTTCAAATATTTTAAAGCCTAAAGAACCTAAATCTCAGAAGCCCGAGACTTAATTACTTTTTAAATCTTAAAAGCTTATATTTTAAAAACTCAAAATTTCAAATTATTTTAAAACTAAAATAAGTCATAATTTATTATATTTTATAAGTCAAATATTCAAATATTTTAAGTTGATTACAAGTCCAAATCAACTCAAATTCCGACAGCCACCTGGGGTCAACCCATGTTTGGGGGCACGGGAGAATGTTAGTTTTCCCAATTGTCTTAAGAGACGAACTGGTCGGTGTCATGAGACACTGCAGTCAGGGAACACAAGTATAAATTTAACCCGCAATTTTAAATGACTCAACGGATCTTCAATGTACTTGCACAGAGGTTTGATTGCAAACCAGTATTTTTCGAATGATACTTTGTTTTCTCCAAATGAAATTCAATTTCTCAAAAATGGGTACTCACTTTCCCACAAACAGGTATTTAAAACCCTCAAGTTTAATTTTTTTTTTTCCAAACGAGTCCGCATTTTTCCTGAACCATACTTAATTTCCCCACGAACAACTACTCGCGCTTCCTCGAGTGGACATTTCCAAACGAGTCCGCATTTTTCCCCAAATGGTACTCAATTTCACAAGGATAAGTACTCACTTTCCCACGAAACGGTATTTAAAACCCTTAATTTTAAATTTTTTTTCCAGACGAGTCCTCATTTTTCTCAAACAGTACTTAATTTTTCCACGAAAGGGTACTCACGCTTCCTCAAGTGGACAATACAAAAATTGTCCTGCATTACCCCAAAATATACCTTTCAAGCTTCAATGTCGCTGTCGGCGACGACTGCGACAAAATAAAATACATCACATATTTTTTTATTAATAGAATACACAATGATGAAATGAAGTAAAATAAGAGCACAAGGTAAACTAAAGTGGCTCGGATGATTTGATGGGTTGGGCCAACACAAATAGGGCTCGATTCAGTTCAACAAGACATAGGATCTAAGAGAGGTGTGATAGTGGCAGTGAGCTAGGGCAGAAAGGAGGAAGCTTTAGAGAGCAACAGAGGCGATGCAGACTTGGGCTTGGGCATCACGAGGGCTAGGACAGAGCAAAGGAGAAAAGTTGAAGCACTATGCATGGAAGGATCGAGTATTTGTAGGCCGGAAATCACGCCATTGTCTTCCTAGTTAGCATTGATCGCAACTCCTTGGCGACGGTTTCAGGCGAGATAGTGTGAGTGAAGCATGTTAGGGATCACGCAAACAAAAGAGGAAGCAAAGCAGCACTGTGTAGGGCAAGGCAGTGGATCGCAGAGCTAAGCGGCTCGGTTTCGCAAGAAGCAGGGAAGTATGGGGTCTTTAGCGAATTCGTGCGAGATTTTCATTGCATGATCCTCAATCGAAAGGACAAAGAGGAAAGGTTGATTGCAAGAAAGGAACAAACAAAATGAAAGCAGCGGGGAATGATTGAGGCTTATGCGTAAGGAGGAGCGACATTGTGCAAGGAGTGAAGAATCGAAGAAAAAGTTCGATTCTTCTACGTTGCTCGAAAGAAAGAACAAGAACGATGGACATAAAAAGAAAAACTGTTTGTGATTCTGAACAGGATGGAGAAGACGAAATTGAACAAGTGCAAACTTAAGTGCAAACTTGTGCTGAAGTGAGATACATAGGCGAAGTAGAGGCAGAACAATGATGTGGACGATTTCTGCTCTCAAACATGAAAAATTATTGCGTGCGGTGCGTGAACTCTTCGCGCACAATAAGCGCTCCTCAAACAGGGGAACGCGTCAGGACACCCGTGTCCAATTAAAATTGGACATCTGCAAATATGCAAATATGATGCCCGCTGAAACACACAAATTTAAAAAAGTGGGACCAACCTTCCAAGTGACCATTTTTAATTGGACACCGGACGCAAATTTATGCGTGGTGTCCCGCCCAATAATATTTCCATACACGGAGAGAAGAAACACCATCTAGAGAACGAAGAACTTCAAGAAAGGTGCGACGCAGAGAAACTAACACCCAAAAGAAAGATGTGTGAATCAAAAAGTAAGTTATGGGATACACCCCTTTACTTTAAACAGAAGCGCGAATGGTTAATAGGATGAGATAATATTAATTAAATCTAATTAAATCTAATTAATAATATTAATTATTATTAATACTCTTTTAACGTCAACAATAAAAGCTTAAGCAACCAGGTAAGAGCTTTATTGTTATACTAAAAAGTATATTTCACATTTAGGGGTGTTATGCTACTAAAATATATGCATTTAAAAATACAAATAACTTAAATTTAGAAATGCATGAGTTGTTTTGTTAGATGCAAATAGAAACATTGATTTTTTTTATCATTATTATGATAAATTTCAAATGCATTGGAATGAGTTGGGCGAAGGCACGAGTGCTGAAAAGAGGTGACTAGTGGGTAGTGAGTGGCAAGTAGTGGCGGTGGCAGGCAATGGAGGAGGAAATCATTAGTATTACTACATAATTTAAAAATTACTCGACTTAAAGTAAGAATTTCCAAATACAGGGAAAATAAGAATTTTGGATACTTCAAATCCCCCAAAAATTTTCTTTTTATTCTTTTGCTTCAAAATAAACTAAAAAATAAAGGAAAAAGAAATACAAAACACTCATAATACCTAAAACCAACCAGCCCCTCGATGTGAAACTATTTTTCACTCATGTAGGCCTTAGCAATCATTCTGCTCGTCATTTAAATAAGCTTACATTTGATAAATATGGACATAGTTCAAGGAAAAATCCAATTACAATTCTACAAAACAAGATATTGATGCTAAAAGGTATTATCTTCATCACAAAGGAGGCTTTCAATTGCAAAAATGAAGAAAAGCTGATTACCCATGGTTAAAGAATACTAATAAGAGTGTAAGTTCCAAAATAAATAATATTATAGCAAGCTGTAAGCCATATTTACAAAACAAAAGTCGAGCAACCCTAGCCCTTATGAAAATATATTTTAAATATAAAGGTATAGGGTCTAAAAATATATTGCACAACCACCTTGGAAGACTATGCAAGTGTATTCGTAAGTTGTGTTACAGTGCATACTGCTTGTGCAGGTTAGCAGATGAATTATTTAATAAGCATTTGGAAACTTACCTTTTCATTATCTAGGAGAGGAAGAGAATGTTAGATATTTATTTCTTCATGTGTACTTTCATGTAAGAAATAAAAAATCAAACAAATTATAAAGCAACCTTTTGCTTTATTATAAGATTAAAGCAATTGGTTTTGGGAGATAAACCAAGTACGAACAACAAATCTACAAAATAAGAAGGATAAATGTAAAAAAACCTTTCAAGGATACTTCTACTATTCATCCGTAATAAATAGAATGTAGCTATATCACCAACATAGTATATTACATTCTAATCGCATGCTTAAAGTAATAATCAGTTTCTCAGCAAGAGATTCTCAATAAGAGTAATTCAAAAAATTTAAGCACATAAAATGCATAAGAATTAAGGAAAGGTTTTAGCTGAATTGCTATTAGAGAGAAATCATGTAACAAGAAAGAACAAACTTACGTTCACTGGTAGAGGAGAGATGCCATGTTTCACCATGACGGGATCCTATACCCGAAAAGAAGTTTTCCTCCCACTTATCTCCCCATTTCGTGCCAAGGTTAGTCTGAGCCGCCCATTTATCCGTCCTACAAAATTAATAAAAATTGAAAGACACATTAATTTTTATCATTATAAGTTGTAAGAAAAAAAATTAATGATATATGCTTATGCATAGAAATATAAAACTTTAACATTAAAAATTACATCATCATCAACGGTTCTTCATAATATTTTAGTTAGCTAGACAAATAAAAACTCTATCAATATGTCAATAATAATGGGAGTGCTAATATGTAAAATAATGGATTACTCTAAATAACTAGAGATGGAATTAATGTAAGTTAATGCATTCCAAAATTAGGATTTACAATAAAAAATTGTTTAATAGTTCAAAGAGAAATTTCGGCGAACTAGTACATGAAGGTAATAAATCATTATGTAATTTATTGATTTAAACTCGGATATTTTGAATTCGAACCAAATTCGACAAGCTCAAACTCAACGCAAAGCCAACTTTAGTTTTCTTTGCTTATTGCTTTAATTTTACTTAATTTATGTCTAGATTAGTATAATGATTAAATTTTATGCTCTTAATGTGTCATCCTAACTTTCATGATTTATTAGTAGAGTTTAATATTAAATTAGTTTAATTATTATATTACTTTCTCCAGCTTTACTCTGGTTACATTATGAACTCATTTAATTGGATTAGCAAAATGATTAGTTTATTCTGATTTCATTTGATTAATGCTTTGATTTATTTGATTTAGTTCAATAAGAACATTTAACTCGTGTGATCAATAAATTGGATTCATTCATTCAATTAACTTTTTTAGTCAAAGTATTATTGGCTGATCAAAATTTGAGTCAATGAATTAATGATTTGGTTTCTAAGTTTTAAACAGAGATTTGATCACCAAACAATACACAATTCCGAGTTAAAAACAATGTATTTATTCTTTGATATATTATAAAACAAGAAATATTTGTTTTCTTTGAGTTAAAAAAGAACTAATTTTTTATAGCGCTTAGTAGCAGGAAGCGGAAGGTGTCAAGCCGCAGCTGCTGCCTATTTTTAATATGTTTGCTCCCTGCGCTGAGCTGCTTTGTTGTTTTGCTTACTGCAGCTTATAGTTTTTTGTTTTGCTGATTATAGAAATTAAAAGTTGAAACAAAACTAGTTTTCTGTCCACGGAAAAAACAGTGAGATTAGTTGCTGTCCAGCAAAGGAAACTATAGAAAAAAAGTGGCTGGAAAAGTTTGCATTGTTCATTCTTTCATTTTGTATTTATACACAACTGAATAAAAAAGAGAAAGGAAAAGAATAATTACAATGTCGAACACAAAAGAAGCTCCTAGCTATCCCATTGTTTGATCAATTTAGATATTGCCCATTGATGTCAAAGGGGCAATCAATTGACTCTTTGCTTCCTTCATATATTAATTCAGAGAGGTATTTTTTGTAAGCCATGAATCTGTGGCCTCAAAATTTCCTTATCTAAAACTCATGCTAACCCTTCTAGATCCTATGATCTTTCAATAGTACGCCACTTCAAACTACATGTTAGAGATCCACCGTTCCAAATTCGCTAACAATATTCTTGAATGTGGGTAACCCTTTAGTAAATATATCAGTAAGCTATCTTCCTGTTGAGACATAAAATGCAAATTAATCCACACTTTCTTTAATAAAATAAATGTCCACTTTTACATAATTAATCTAATCATATTGTATATGAATACGAGCAATGCTAATGACACATTCCTATCATCATATATAGTCTTTTTCCTATCTGACCTTTAAATATCCTAAAATGAATTTAATCTATGGGAGCAATAATTCTGAATTCGGCAACTAATCTTGCTTCATATGATTTTAATCTAATGTTAAGATACATTTATTTTTTTGCAATACGAAGCAAATGTATCTTAATAGTCGACTCCATAGAATTGAGTATATTCTACGGCAACTAATCTTGCTTAGTATTTCTTTAAACTTTCGCATGTGTGTAGTTTAATAAAAAGATCAATTTACATTCTACAATTGCTTCCCTTTTGGTAATATCCCAAGAGTGTTTTTTTATTTATTATCTCCTCTCTCATGGTATCTTTCCGATTCTTATTTTGTAGTGCCTCAAATAAAATTTTAGATATTTGAATGATGCTGGAGTTGATGTTTGTATGGAAAAACATAATGTGAAGGAAAAGACATTGTTAATAGTAATCAACAAATAAAAATAATAAGAACTCAAACCTGAACCATTTACATCAAATTGTTAATCTGCAAAATTTTTGCATACACAATAAATGAATCATTTTAAATCAATCAAAGAAAGGGCAAATTACCAAAAGAACGCTCAACTATCCCTGAACTTCAATCACTGAAAAAAAAATACTGTTCAGACCATCGAAACTTTTGCCATAATCATGCAGCAGAAAAGAGATGAACTTAGTTTAGAAGGAGAATGAAGAGGTAGAGGGGGAAAAAAGGGCATGAAGATTTCAAACAAATTAACATTCTAAAGAAAAAGGCAAGGGACAAAGAATAACTTTGAACTTTGGAGAGGAGATAATCCCCAGAGGAAAGGCCAAAGAACTCATTCATTTCATCTGCAACTCTGATCAAATTACAAAACATGAGACTCCATTTATTGAAATAGAATAGAGATAAGTTCAAGCTAAAATATAATCATAAACTTATACAAAAAAATATTTCAAAAAAAATAAATCTTAAAATAACTAATTTAAAATAAAATACCAAAAAGTAAATCCTAAATAAGTATTCTTTGTGATCCATCAAACTTTATAACCAGTTTGAATGGCTTCAAATTCACATTGAGATGGTTCTCAAATAAATATTGCCTATTGTATATCATTGTATACCCAAGTACAAACCTAGTAGTTTGTTATAATTGGCTACACCGTTAGAAGAGGCGATGAGTTCAAATCTCCCAATAAGATCAATGTTGCCCAAAGAGCGCTCACTTAACTGTGACAAAATCATAAACAACGGCCCAACAGTGTCTTGCCTTCATATGCATGCGGTAGAAATCTCTTAAATGTTCTCAAATCTCAAGTGAATCCGATCATAAATGATATTTTTCTAATTGTTCATAAACACTTAAACAATTAATAGCATCATTTTATATATATATATTTTATTTTTTATTTATTTATTTTTTTTTTTTTT